GTTTTTCTAAGTTTTTCTAAGTTTTTCTAAGTTTTTCTAAGTTTTTCTAAGTTTTTCTAAGTTTTTCTAAGTTTTTCTAAGTTTTTCTAAGTTTTTCTAAGTTTTTCTAAGTTTTTCTAAGTTTTTCTAAGTTTTTCTAAGTTTTTCTAAGTTTTTCTAAGTTTTCTAAGTTTTTCTAAGTTTTTCTAAGTTTTTCTAAGTTTTTCTAAGTTTTTCTAAGTTTTTCTAAGTTTTTCTAAGTTTTTCTAAGTTTTTCTAAGTTTTTCTAAGTTTTTCTAAGTTTTTCTAAGTTTTTCTAAGTTTTTCTAAGTTTTTCTAAGTTTTTCTAAGTTTTTCTAAGTTTTTCTAAGTTTTTCTAAGTTTTTCTAAGTTTTTCTAAGTTTTTCTAAGTTTTTCTAAGTTTTTCTAAGTTTTTCTAAGTTTTTCTAAGTTTTTCTAAGTTTTTCTAAGTTTTTCTAAGTTTTTCTAAGTTTTTCTAAGTTTTTCTAAGTTTTTCTAAGTTTTTCTAAGTTTTTCTAAGTTTTTCTAAGTTTTTCTAAGTTTTTCTAAGTTTTTCTGTTTTTCTAAGTTTTTCTAAATTTTTCTAAGTTTTTCTAAGTTTTTCTAAGTTTTTCTAAGTTTTTCTAAGTTTTTCTAAGTTTTTCTAAGTTTTTCTAAGTTTTTCTAAGTTTTTCTAAGTTTTTCTAAGTTTTTCTAAGTTTTTCTAAGTTTTTCTAAGTTTTTCTAAGTTTTTCTAAGTTTTTCTAAGTTTTTCTAAGTTTTTCTAAGTTTTTCTAAGTTTTTCTAAGTTTTTCTAATTTTTTCTAAGTTTTTCTAAGTTTTTCTAAGTTTTTCTAAGTTTTTCTAAGTTTTTCTAAGTTTTTCTAAGTTTTTCTAAGTTTTTCTAAGTTTTTCTAAGTTTTTCTAAGTTTTTCTAAGTTTTTCTAAGTTTTTCTAAGTTTTTCTAAGTTTTTCTAAGTTTTTCTAAGTTTTTCTAAGTTTTTCTAAGTTTTTCTAAGTTTTTCTAACTTTTTCTAACTTTTTCTAAGTTTTTCTAACTTTTTCTAAGTTTTTCTAAGTTTTTCTAAGTTTTTCTAAGTTTTTCTAAGTTTTTCTAAGTTTTTCTAAGTTTTTCTAAGTTTTTCTAAGTTTTTCTAAGTTTTTCTAAGTTTTTCTAAGTTTTTCTAAGTTTTTCTAAGTTTTTCTAAGTTTTTCTAAGTTTTTCTAAGTTTTTCTAAGTTTTTCCAAGTTTTTCTAAGTTTTTCTAAGTTTTTCTAAGTTTTTCTAAGTTTTTCTAAGTTTTCTATTTAAATTTTTATGCTTTTAAAATGATTGTTAGTTTTTAATATTTAAGAATGTTGATAAGTCAGTAAAGACCTTTTTTTACTTTCCTATCTATATACAGATAAGGAAAGCATAGGAATCATGATTTTTTCGACCTCGAGTTTTCGACGGATTTTTACGTTTTGGGGTTCCGTGAATCCGTTTTGACTATTTTCGCGATGATGTCTGTGTGTGTCTCTGTATCCACGATACCTCATGAACGGATATAAAGAAAAACACCAAATTTTAAACTTAAGCTTTATTTCAGCCTGTGGTGAACTGACTAGATTTTGGGCAGAGTCGGAATATCTGGGGGGTATTTTATAGGACGTCATTTTTATATTTTAAGAAATATATGTTGTTTACATTTGGAAAAGAAAATTCTTTAATTATAAGTTATTTTTATAATTTTTGTTTTATACAAAATTTTCCTAAAATGGTCCGTATTCGAGAAATTTGACAAAATTGTTCAAATAAAAGTTTGCGATATAATTAATTCTCTATAATTTTTGTACCAAACATAATTTCTCTAAAATGGATCGGATTCCAGATATTTGAGAAAAAGTGTAATTTCGAATTTTGAAGAAAAGTCAAAAACGGATAAAGAATAACATATTAAATTTTAAACTTAAGCTTTATTCCAACCTGAGGTGAACCGATTAGATTTTGGGCAGATTCAGAACATCAAGAGGGTTACTTTATAGAAGGTCCTTTTTATATTTTATGAAATATATTAGTTATTTATGTTTGGAGAAGAAAATTGTTTAAATAAAAGATACTTATGATATTCTTCTCTATAATTTGTGTTTTTTACAAAATTTTCCTAAAATGGTCTGTATTCAAGAAATTTTACAAAATGTAAAAAATACAAATTTTTAAGAAAATTGTTTAAATAAAAGTTGTTTGCGATATCATTCTTTATAATTCTTGTACCATAAATAATTTTTCTAAAATGGACCGTATTCGAGGTATTTTTGAAAAAGTGTAAATTTTGATTTTTGAAGAAAACTCAAAAGCGGATAAAGAAAAAACCTTAAATTTTAAACGAATGCTTTGTTTCGACCTGAGGTAAACTGATTGTATTTTGGGCAGAGTCAGAACATCTGGGGGGGGTCATTTTTATACTTTATGAAATCTATCTGTTATTTACGTTTGGAGAAGAAAATTCTTTAAACAAAAGTTACTTCTAATACTATTCTCTATAATTTTTGTAATATGAAAAATTTTCCTAAAATGGTCCGTATTCAAAAAATTTTACAAAATGTAAAAAATTCTGATTTTTAAGCAAATTGTTAAACTAGAAGATGTTGGCAATATCGATCTCTATAATTTTTGTTTGTATATGATTTCTCTAAAATGGACCTTAATAGAAAAATTGGAGAAAAGGCATAAAATTTATATTTTTGAGTATTTTCGTTGGCAATTAATGTATATAGAAAAATGTTCAGAGTTAGATGTATGTGGAAAATGTATATATTAGGTTAACCTCTAAACATTTACAGAGGTTGTGCAAAATAACCGAAAAAAGCCTGTAATAACTAGATAGGAAAGTCATGTGTTGGACACATCAGATTTTTTACATAGACAATATTAAAAACGTGTACAATAGATCATTAATAGCTAGCCAAACAGAAAAGATGTATCTATTTCAGCATTAAAAAAGTTGTAACATGTCTACTAACTTTTTGAAAATAATTTATTTTCCATAATTTACTGTAAATATAGACACAGTCTGTCTACGTAAGTTGGCTATTTATGGAAAATTATTTTACTATTAGTTTCATCAAAAAACATGTATTCCTTGTAGAAAGTTCTGCATAGTCTTAAATCTAAAATTGAACCATCAGATAATAAATTAATTTTTTGAGCCGTATACGAGGTAAGTCAAAAAATATAAATATTGCTTAAGGGTAAAGTACCTTTTTTTTTGATAAACCTCGTATAAGTCTGATAAAATTTAGTATCAGATGATTGCATTTTGGGTTTTAAGTCATAAAGAACCTTTTACGAAAAATAACTTTTTTTCCCTACAATTAATAATGAAAAAGTTTTCCATATGTTGCTAACTTACGTTGTAAAGCATGTACAGCATGTAAAATTTTTTTTATTATTAAATTTAGGGAAAAAATTAATTCTTTATAAAACTTGTGCATGGTCTAAAACCTGAAATACAAATATCAGATATCAAATTATATAAGTCGTATAAGAGAATTGTTCTATCTTTTTGTTTCTGAGATATTTAAAAAAAAAAAAAACAAAAGTGCATTTTCTAAATTGTGTTGTAGCTTTTTTATTGTTCACTATTTTGGCAATCTGTAAAAACATTTTTGAAGTAAATTTCATTTCTGCCATTGGATTTTGAACACGACGTTTCAGTTATTTTATACCATCATCAGGTTAATTTTTTCTAATGGACGCTATATTGTTTTTTACTTATTTACTTATTTATAACGATTACGATTTATAACTTATTGGTTAATAAATGAAATTGGCTTAAAAAAAAAGAAAATTAGAAGAGAGAATAAGGTAGGTGTTTGGAAGCATAAATGACAACATTCTTTGCAGTGTTGAAAATATGTCAAAAATTTATTATTAAAAAGGCCAACATATGATATAAGTATTAGTACTTAAGTGTTGCGAAAATAAATTTTCTTGTTTTTAAGTCAGTTTCTTTTATTTTCCAATAAGTGGTACATTGTAAAACTGACATTTAAGTATAAAATACAATTTAGCGTCCATAAGAAAAAAATGAGGCTGATGATGGTATAAAATATCTGAAACATCGTGTTCAAAATCAAACTGCAGAACTGAAATCTACATGAAAAGTTACTACAAAAATGTTTTTAAAGATTGCCAAAATAGTGAACAATAAAAAAGCAACAGCATAATTTCGAAAATTTGTTTATTTTTTAAATATTTCAAAAATAAAAAAGATAGAATCACGTACTAATTGACATTAAGTCGCAAATATATTCGTATAAAAATTTGTCCCATTTAATTCTCTATTTTCTATACTTTTCAAGATGCTGCTGTTTTGTTTTCTAAAAATTTCCGTTTCTTTTTTGGGTTACTCCTGAAATATTGGAGTAGTTAATTGCGACTTTCTCCATTGTGGATGTCGAGTTGTAATTTTTAATAAAAAAATGTGTATATTACTTGTTTACAAAAAATGAGCTTCTATATGTATCTATTGATTTAGTATTGCTTGGTATAAAAATATAACTTTGTTTTTGCTTAATATACCACTCATTACTTATATAAATCTTAAAATAGGTGCTTGGTCCTGGGATAACTTGCGTAGGGTCAGATTTAGCCAGCTTTTAGCGAGAAATTGATAAATGGTTTCTTTCTGCAATGTCAAATTTACGGTTACGCGGAAGTATAATAAATATGCTAAAAATAATCGTACCTACAATAAATTTAAAAAATGATAAATATTCATTGTGTGTTTATGTTTATAAATAGCTCGAATACAGTACACACTAAGTTCCCATGGTGTACAAAAATACATTAAATACAGGTGTTTTGGCATCAACCTCTCGAACTAGCCTGCGTCATTAGGTCGTGATAAAAATAGTAATTTTATAGAGTTCCACACAAATTGTTAGTTTTTCTTTGAGAGCATTTCAGTAAAAATACGACATCATTTTAATAATCATCTAATTGTGAACTTGTAATTTTTGTTTCCTTATAAAAACAAACTTTTCAATCGGATTAACAGAAATGTTTATTGAAAGTTTATTTTATATAAATAATTAGTGCTTTGACATTTATTCGGGTAAAACCACGTGCGTATTGATTGATTAATAAAAAAATGCCTCACTATTCTGACTTGTACAGTCTGCCAAGTGCAAGTGGTCTGTGTATGCCTCATTATAATAGTGGATTAAACTTTCTTTCTTATTCAAAACCTGTTCCGCGTTATTCACATTTATATAAACCGCATCTTTCCACAATTTCGGAAATTTCCCTGCCATACAGAAGATTAAACGCTCCGAAACACTACCCGTCCGACATAACTTCAAGACCCATCAAAACCATCAACACCGCTGATATTGACGTGTCTGTAAACAAGTACAAAAAATTTGAAAAGAAGGGACAGCAACGCTTAAAGGCCAAGGAAGCTGCTCAGTCTTACACTCCCGAAAAACCCGTTGTTGTGAAAGAAGCGAAACCTAACCCAGGCATCCGAAGAGATAGAGCCACAGTACGTTTAAAAACCCTCCATGCTGACACATTAAAAGAAGAAATCGGTAATTACAGAAAATGGCGAGATAACTTTGAACCGGAAGAATTGAATAAAGAATCGAAGACGCTAAAGAAAACGAAAGGAGAACTACTAAAAGAAAAATTTCTTATACGTTCCAGAAGCAAAGAAAACATTCAAGCGTTAGCCTTAGAAAACAATAAGAAAAATCTTATTAAGAGGACCTCTAGTTTTCGTGAAATTTGTGATGCTATAACTTGTGACACCATAGACGATGAACTAAATCCTGGCCAACCTGAGGAGATACAAAGAAGACAAAGTAAGCATCAGCTTTCAAGTGAAAATTTATTGAACGATATCAGAAGAGTCTCTGCCGAACTAACTCCAGAAGACTTGAAAGTTCTAAATGTTATGCTAGCTAGTCAAGCCAGTTCAGTAGATAGTTCAGACGAATCGTTTACTTTATACGAAATTGAAGAATTTGGTAAAGCGCAAGACGAAACCCTTCATTCCTTATCACCAGTCGAAAAAGTTACAGAATATGAAGAAAAAAGTAGAAAATTAAATAAATCAGAAACTCTTCAGACACCTTCAGAAAACGCAAATCTTAAAGTAAGTGAAAAGTTTGCAAAACCTCTTTTAAAATCTAATAAAAGTGATACTTTAGCAAAAACAGAAGTTAAAGAAGCAGGTATTAATCCCCTTCAATCTAAAACAGTGAAGACAAATGTTTTAAAAGAAAAGGAAGAAAAAACAGATGAGAAAGTTAACACTGTAACAAAAGGTATTCAACTCAACAGCAATTTACACAAATTACACAATAAATTGACTGCAAGTCCACCCCCTGAAACTAAATCTGATGAAAACAAAGCAAAAATTGATACTCTGAAAAAACAAATTGAAATAACTAAATTAAAACAGAAAAACAATCTTCAGCCAAGCAAACTAAACACGAACGTTTCGGAAAATAAAGAAAACGATATTGTCAATAAACCAAAAGATTTAAAACTCCCTACTAAAGAGTACGTACCTAGAGACATATCAAACGTAGAAATTGAACAAATAAAATTTAAACCTAAAGCAGTGATAACAGCATCTGAAACAAGTGTTGATGATGTCGTTACACCAAAGAAAACACTCATAGCTGTGGTGGTGGATGAAATAGATGTAGAAAAACCAATTATAAAAAAAGATAAAAAGTTAAGATTCAATGTCAGCGTTAACATAGAACAGGTCAAGAAAAAAGAAGGAAGCAAAAACAAGGCAATATCAAGAAGTATAAAACGTGGAACCGCTTTCCATCCGATTCCCCAAAAAACATTGCTTAACAATTTAATTATAAATAAACCGAAAAAATACGAACACAAAGAACTGAAAGAATTAAAATTAAAGAAAAAGAATAAAATTAAAGAACATATTCCGGAAAGAGACAAAGATTTACATACCGATCAACGAGCAAGTGCAGAATTAGAAAAGAAAGAGGGGAACACAGAATTAAATCCAGACGAACAACTACACAATAAATTAGAAGTCGAGACATTAACAGATTTAAATATAACTAAAGAATCACAGAATAAATTTGACGAAGAGTCTAAAGTAGAAACAGTCGACAAAACATGCGAATTAGATAAAGATAAAGAAATAGAAATCAAACCTGTAACGAAGGTATGCAATCTTAGGGCATCATTAATTAGTAAAATGCCTCCAAAGCTAACCTCAAAGCGTTCTTTAATACAAAAATCAGTAAAAGAAGATCCCGATTTAACAGTGTTTATTCCTCCTCCTACTCCGGAACCCGAACCGGAGCCTGAGAAGAAGGACGAAAACGCTTTTGTACCATTACAATCCAATCGTTTATCGCAATGGATGCATCCTTGGGCCAAACCTGAGCAATACGAAGAGTGTCCTGTGGAAATTTTTGCCAGGCCTAAAGTGATTCGCGGTAGACATTATCCCAGAGGTCGTAAGCGTAACTTTCCCGTACTAGTACAACCAGTAACGAATTCGGTAGAAAACGAAAGTGATAGTGACGATTCTGAGGACACTGAAGAAACGAGTGCTAGTCTGCGATCTACTGATTCAGGATTTGGTTCTACAATACCAGAAAAACTAAATGGTAAGTTCAATTCGCAAATTATGATTAATTTAAAAAATATATTTACGAGTTTGGCTTTAGGGAAGAAATGGGTATGGATGATGCTATAGTGCAGCTTGCTTCAGAAATATATAACGCAATCGACAATAATAAAACATGTCTTTATATATTTATAAAAAGATTTTGACACAATTAGTCACAATTATTGTTAATTGGCATCCGTGGTATTCCTTTAAAACTTTTTAGATTTTTTAACGATTAGATATCAGCGAGTTAAAATAAATGAATCACTTAGTGGGAAGAGAATAATCTCTTGTGGAGTTCCACAATGCACTGTTTTCGGATCCATACTTTTTATTATTTATTTAAATGATATTTGCTATTAAAAGCAGTGACGACTCGAAATAATTTTATCATTTGTAAGATCGGTTCAAATCTTTGTTCAAGCGCCAATATCGCTGTTTTTTTAATTTGGGTTTGTACCAAGTGTAGTTATTATCAATATCAATGTTTTCAAGCAGTACAACTATTAATGAATGAATGAATATTTTAGTTATTGTAAAATTTGATTTGTTTTTAATAAATTAAAAACTATATATAAACAATATTAGTTGTAGTCAGCTGACTTTTCTTCAATCTGGGATTTTTTAAAAATATATCAGATTATGTAGAAAGCTTGACATTGATTTATGTGAAAAAAATATATTAAACTTTACCTACTGTTTTTCAGTTTTTATTGTAAATTTAATAATTTTCACATTTTGTCAGACGTGTCAAATAAAATAATATATTTTTTAAATACCTTTTATTGGTAAATAAAACATGTGAACTAAAATGTTTATTTTATAAGGCCAGTTCCATCACAATACATAACATTACACAGAACTATAAACTAGAATGAAGATATACCTACGTACTGTACATACAATGCTTGGCATTTTAAATTATACTCCTCACAGTTTAATAGACCCCCTTAACCCCCATTTTCAATCAGACATTTTTCAGAATCAATTGGTTTCATTTTTTCCAAGCTTGATTTTTCCAAAAAATTTTAGTTTAAGAAAAACATTTAAATATCTAGGAAACATTGGTTGGAACTTAAAAATTGCAATTACTCTAAAAGTACAAAATGTGACCCGTTTTTTCCATCTACCCTTCTAATATATAACATTCATGTGAATCAGAGTCATGAAATTTTGTAGTTATTTGAATCATCTTGTACATTGCAAAGCTCCACAAGGCATCTTATATTATCGTCTTACAAAATTGAAAAAGAGACTAGTATATTATTGCAAAGTTACATGCATATTTATATCCATATAAATATAAGTATTTTGAAGTTTAAAACCATATTAATTTAGCCGTTTTAAATTCTAAATTTAGTAATAAGCATAGCAATGTTGAAAATAGTCGACATTTTAAGAAGTTTGCATTGTACCTAATAAATTTAAGAAGGATATTTTCCCATTTTAGCGGAGGAATTTAAATGCAAAATATAAAATTATATGTATAGCACTCCAAGCAAAATAATAAAACAACAGTTCTATATTAAAAATAATTTGAAAGTACATACCTATGTATAAATCATATAAATAAATAAATAAATAAATAAATAAACAAACAAATAAATATTAAATATGAATATTACTTTTGGCACCTAATCTGTTATTCCTTGAAAAAAATAGTATTAGAGGTCAATTGGATTCCTTATTTCATCCAGCATGTCTGTTGAAATTTTCTTTTTGTTTTGGAAGTACCAAATTTTCAATTTAACTTTCATTAACTTCGATTGCATACACAATAGGGTGGAGCAACAGTATAGGAAGATATTTTTTTTTTTTTTTTGAAATTCAAGATGCCTGACTTTGGGAAAGATGTGCTTGTAAATAAGAAGTTTTTTTGCTCTTTTTATTTTTTTTTTAGAAGCACCTCCTCCACCGCCACAGAATTTCAAAATTTTTTATTTTTTTTTCGAAAAATTAAGACGCCTGACGTTGGAAACGATGTGCTTGGAAATAAGAAGTTTTTTGATGTTTTTATTTTATTTTTATTATCATCCCTTCCACCGCCACAGGGTCTGAAAAATTAAATTTTTTTTATTTAAATTAAGATGCCTGGCTTTGGAAACGATGTGCTTGGGAATAAGAAGATTTTTGTAATTTTATTATTTTATACTAGTATCGTATGCACGACCAGACGGTCACAAAAAAAACAGCAAAAAACTTCATAAATAACATAAAATATAATGTGTTTTTCTAAACAAACATTTATTTCTCTTTGAAAACTGTAATGCAATTTAAAGCCTGAATTAAAAAAAAATAGCCTAAAGCCTAAACTAAAATAAAATAGAACATATGATCCTACTTTGAAGGAAAATCTTTTTTAGTCTCAAATTTCGGCATTATGGACCGTGACTCTAATTTATTTTTTATTGTCTTATGTCTTCTGGTATAACCACAAACTGTACTAGATCCCTTTGTCACCATTTTGACAGCTCTTTCCATAGCTTGTGTGTGGCAAGGGTAATCTTTTATATAAGAAATTGCTGAATGTTCTGGGTCGTCTATGATTTCTTGTAGCTGGACTTCCGTTAATAGGGCTGTTATTGGTGGTTCGGTCCAAATCACAATTTGGCAGTCTACTAGCTATTCTTGAGCTTCAAAATTAAAAACCGGAAGGGCAAAATTTCGAACTTTAAGTTGATTAGCATCGGTTTTAGCCCTGGCCTTTAAAATTCTGCAATAAGCTAGTTGCCTTATATACCTGCGCTCATCCCACAACATAGACAATATTATATTTTCCGGGTGTCCAAAAATACCATTTCTATTAATCACCTTATGAACGATACTTTTTAAGTCATCTGAAAAATATTTGCATAGATCAATAGTTTTGAAAAAATGTTTTACGCCATAAATACATAAAGGCATTTTTTTTAATAAAAAACCACATAGGGCCATAAACCTTAACTATAAATGTTACTAATATAATAAAATTTTGAGTTGGATGTGCGGTGCTGATATATAAACGTAATAGTCTGTTCACAGTAGTCAACCACCGGGAATGAACTAGTCGACCTGGGTCACGTTTTGAGAGAGCTGCAGAGCAGTAACCGTTTTTAATTGCTAAGCACATTTGGTGAAGGTATTTTTGATCTGTACTTAATTTAAAATTAGTGTCAATATTAGGCAATTAGAACTTCTAAACTGTCGAACGAAATAAAGGAACACTCGAAAAAATCAGTTAAAAAATCCAAAATCTTGAGGCAGTTCTAGAAACAGTGGCCAGATGGCCAATATAGTGTGAACCGGGGTTCCTGCTATAAAATTATGTGTTTTTCAACTATTGTTCTTTTTCTATTATCAGTAAATGTTAATGTCTTGTCCTTACGGCCATCGAAATACAAATCACGTAACATGGATATTTTTGAAGACTTTTGTAGCTCCTGTCTTTTTTTCTGCCTTGCACGTCTGACTTTATGACGGTCAATGATATTTTGGGAATTTTTGCTGATTACAATTCTGTAATCCTGGAGCACGGCTAAAGCTATCACAGCACCTGCTCTGTCTGAAACCTCGTATCTGTCTAATGTATTTGCCAATAAGTTGCCAACACGCTGAGATTGCTAATATTACGATTACTTAAGCCTGACGTACTTGGTTTATCAGAAAAAGTGTCATTTTGGGAGCAGGATCGTCTTTATTTTTATCAGACTTAACTGGCTCACTTTCAGAATCAGTCTCACTTTCCAGCAAAAAAATTTCTTTGCTGTCAAAAGATGTGCTCTGTTTCGGCTCTGTGAGTATGTTGTCTTTTTCATTTCTCTTTTCTCTTTTTTGTTGTTGTCGAACAGCCTTGAAATCAACAATCATTGTCCTGTCTGACTCTGATCTTTAAGAAATGGGCGTTCTTTTAGAGGAACCTACAAATATTTACATTTAGAAAAACAGAAATACTTTCCAGCTGCGCCAGCACTTTAAAAAGAAAGAATACAGCATATATTACGCATTATTTTTAGTTTTAATTTTGTGCCTTTGTTACACCTCGTAACAAAGGACAAATAATTTACAGGCAAGTACCCGATTAGTTATCATGCCATGTGGCAAATAATGTCTGATATAAATTTATTTTTTCAACAAAAAGCTGACTATGCAAAGGTTTTATTGCAATAAGAATATTTTTTTATAATTAAAAAAAAATATTGCATTAGTATTGCCACCGACCCAAGGGCAATATTCTAGGCAATAGAAAAAAAGGGGTGGGGTGGTGGAACGACTTGAGCTAAAAAAATTATTTTTTGGGAAATTAGATATTTTGGCCTTACACAACTTTCTATTTATCAGGAGTATCTTGCTCCACCCTAATACACAATGTCACTTGAGAAAATCAGCATTGGGATTCTCATTTTTCAATTTGGCACATGTTGAGACGACTACATTCGTTCCACAGAATGCGATTCGTATGTAATATCTCTCTTTATTCAATTCGATTTCCATTATTAATAAGTGACAATACAACAGTATCGCATTGTCTGTGCTACCAGGTTATGGATCACCCCACTATGACTACGAAATACATTTCTTTTATTTATTTTGAAATTATTAATTAATAAAAACGATGATATAGCAAGTTGGGATCCTAAAACATTAACGTTTGGATAAACGATCGATAATGATTACTATTATCGGATAGTCTTTGATAGACAGTAGGTTTTTTCTTTAAACTTTTAACATTCTATAGTTAGTTCTTAATTGGGTTTCCACATTCACGTAGCTTTTGAGTTCAATAATGTTTTAAGTGTAAACATAATTTAATTTGGTAGCATTGGTTTAAACCTAATGTCACACAAGTTTAAGCTTCTGAGTCTCCCTAGAAGGCTGTTGCCCCAATCAGTGTTGACATTTTTGATTTTTTTGTAATTTGTAATTTTCATTTAATTGTACCTTTTTAAATGTAATTTTGTTAATTGTATTAGTAATTAGTAATTTTTATACAATTTAAACTAAATTTTTAACTTTCAAGTC